TGGTGCAGGATCAGGCAGTGTTTAGTTCAGCTGTGCATAAGGTCGCTATGGGTTGGTACCAACTCGATGGCACCTAACAACAATAGCAACTGTGTACTTATGGAGTCCTTGGGTGGCTCAAACATTTAACACATTCACTGAAAGGTTGGTGGCTAGAATGCACCAAGAAGCACCTTGGTGGTCTACTTCTGAAAACTATGGGGCACATTTGTACTCTGACACATATAGGAGGATTGCATGAGTAAGAATCGACTCTGCAGCAACTAGTTTCATATATAGTATCACATGTTAAGTGCGGTTCAAATTGACCTTGAGGTCGAGTGTTTATCCTGTGGTGCCACATCAGGACTCCATGGTATCACATGGTGGTGGTGGTGTGCCGTGGAGTCGGTTCCAACTCATAGCGACCCTGTACAGTGTTTCCGAGGCTGTAAATCTTTACGTGATCAGAAAGCCTCATCTTTCTTCCATGGAACAGCTTTTAGTTTTGAACTGCTGACCTTGTGGTTCACAGCCTGATTAGTAACCGCTATGTTGTTGTTGTTGTTAAGTGCCATCGAGTCGGTTCCGACCCATAGCGACCCTGTACAGTGTTTCCGAGGCTGTAAATCTTTACGTGATCAGAAAGCCTCATCTTTCTTCCATGGAACAGCTGGTAGTTTTGAACTGCTGACCTTGTGGTTCACAGCTTGATTAGTAACCGCTATAGGTGGTGCATAATGTTTTACTGATAATATGCTTCCTCAGTGGGCTCACGTCTTCGCAGCCTGATCTTTCTATTGCTTAACACTACCCTTTCTTGTAATGGTTTTAGCATCCATTGATGATCATTTTGCTTGAATGCTTTGTGTTTGGAACTTTGTTGTTGTTGTTAAGTGCCGTCGAATCAGTTCCGACCCATCGTGACCCTGTATAGAGTTTCCGAAGAGCGGCTGGTAAGCTTGAACCGCCATCCTTGTGGTTCAAACCAACTTTGCAGTCCAGCGCATTAACCCACAGCGCCACACCAGGACTACTAGCTGCCAAATGCATGAGTGAAGGTATTATTGATAATTACTGCTAATAAAATAGGACAGTATCATTTTTTTTTTTTTTTTAATAAAGCCATTTGTTGTTGTTGTTGTTAGGTGCCATCGAGTCGGTACTGACCCATAACGACCTTATACACAACAGAACGAAACACTGCCTTATCCTGGGCTAACCTTCCTACTGTTGCCACACTTGAGTCCATTGATGCTGCCATTTGGCCATTTCATCTCATTGGGGGTCTTCCTCCTTTTCTCTGACCCTCCACCTTACCAAACATGATATCCTTTTCCAGTGACTGCTCCCTCCTGAAAATATGTCCGAAGTATGAGAGACGAAGTTTGGCCATCTTGGCCTCTCAGGAGCACTCTGGCTGCACTTCTTCCAAAACGGTTGTTTTGGCACTTTCAATATTCTCCTCCAACACCATAACTCAAAAGCATCAGTTTTTCTACGGTCTTCCTTATTCACTGTCCAGCTTTCGCATGCTTATGAGGTTATTGAAAACACCATGGCTTGGGTCAGGCGCACCTTAGTCCTCAAGTTGATCTTTGCTCTTCAACACTTTAAAAAGGTCTTGTGCAGCACATTTACCTAATGCAATACGTCCTTTGATCTCTTGACTGCTGCTTCTGTGGTGTTGATAGTTGATCAAAGAAGAATGAAGTCCTTGACAACTTCAGTCTTTTCTCTGCTGATAAGAATGTTGTTTATTGGTCCAGTAGTGAGGATTTTTTTTTTTCTTTACATTGAGATGTAGTCCATACTGAAGGCTGTGCTCTTTGATCTTTATTAGTAAATGTTTTAAGTCCTCTTCACTTTTAGCAAGCAAGGTTGTATTAGCCATAGGTGGAGTAATATCCAAGAGATAGTTCTCCAGATAGTAGCAAACCTCCAAATTATAGACTAGATTTTAAAATGATGATAATCTTATGTAATTTGGAAAGGAAAAACAAAACAACTTTTGCTTTGTTGTTGTTATGTGCCGTGGAGTCGGTTCCGACTCATAGCAACCCTGTACAGGGTTTCCGAAAAGAGCTCTGGTAGCGTAGTGGTTACGAATTGGGCTGCGAACCGCAAGGTCAGCAGTTCAAAACTACCAGCTGCTCCGCGGGAGAAAGACGAGGCTTTCTGCTTCCGTAAAGATTTACAGCCTCGGAAACCCTGTTCAGGGTTGCTATGGGTCGGAACCGACTCGATGGCACTTAACAACAACAAAAACAGGGGTTCCGAGGCTGTAAATCTTTATGGGAGCAGAAAGCCTTATCTTTCTCCCGCGGAACAGCTGGTAGTTTTGAACTGCTGACCTTGCGGTTCGCAGCCCGATTCATAGCCACTACGCTACCAGAGCTCCTTTTGCTTAAGCTATGTTATTAAGTGCTGTCGAGTCAGTTAGACTCATAGCAACCCTGTATAGGGTTTTCGAGGGGCGGCTGGTGGGTATGAGCTGCTGATCTTGGGTCTCAGACTGACCTTGCGGTCCAGTGCATTATCCTGGAGCACCACGCCAGGACTTTTAAGTTATAGTAGCTTTAAAACTTGTTTCTTAACATAAAGTCATTAGAACAAATACCTTTCAACAATCCTTTAAGCAAAAAGATTCCCTAAATTTATTCTAGATTATGCCTATAGACATATCTAGATTATGTCAAGAAAGATTCCAGATGACAAAAATGTAGAGCTGTCTTTGTAATGGAATTATATATATATAACATTTATATATATAAATGTTAACTATATATGTCATAATTTTTGTTCCTGTTAGGAGAAAATAATTAATATATACCATTTTATGTGCTTCATATTGAATCTATTAATGGAAATTGTATATTGAACTCATATATTGGGAAATTAAATAAAAATGTGAAATTTGCAAAATATTGTTGGTTTCTTCTCTTTGCTGTTGGATATGACTGTTAAAATGATACTAGAAGAGAAACATGTTAACATTTCGCACATACCAGTACTCAGTCGGGGATAGTAGGACGGCATATTCAGGAAATCAATGTAATCTTTATTAAAACAAAAACATTTACCAACTTTTTGAAACAGTGACAAATGTTTTCAGGTTTCTAAAGGTTCTTACTGTCTGTGGGACAGGAGATTTTACTGAGGGATATTACTGACTGAATTTTTTTTCATAGGAAAATAAAAAATATTTCAAGCGTAGTGAACTTGCAAAAAAAGAAGAGGAGGCATATTTTGAAAGATGTGGCTACAAGGTATGAATGCCTGGTTTTACATTAAATTGTGTATTTCTGAATTTAAATTTATTGAGCTATTGTTTAAGTGACAAAATTATTGATCTCTGTTCAATGTTATACATTAGCCTATAAATGAGAAGCCTTCTGGAGAGGTATGAGTTTTTGTTTTGTTTTCGCCTCTTTTCCATTTAATTTTTTAAATCTTAAATTCAGGAAAATCCATGCATGACTTGGCTTGAAATGGTTTGGCTTTTTGTGGACAGCATGAAATGGCTTGAGATCAAAGCTCGAATTTATTTATATACTTAAATTAAACCCTGAATCTGATACTGCCTCATTTTCATCTCCACCACTACCCTTCTCCCCACTTCTCCCAATAAAATCTATTTTTAAATGGGTTCCAAATATTTTATACATATTTTATCGTAGCAGTGGTATTTTCTCAACTTTCTACTGCATATGTTAAGCCATTGATTTTGTGTTTGCATTGTTGATCATTCCTTTTGGCTTTTTGTACCTCTGCCTGACATATAGTACCATATAGCATTTATATGCTTTTATGACAAGGTATTATATTTCAGTCACTGCTTAGTCTATTGGGTAAAACATGTCATCTTGAAATGTATTCTAGATTCAAATGATTTGTCCGGAAGGCTTTGTATATTTTAGAATCATGACTGAGATTATCATTGAAATTATCATAATTGATAATACATTCGAGTTTTTATTGGGAGGAGTTAAAGATTATGAGATGGAGAAATTATGTTTAGATTAAAAAAAAAACCATGTATCTAGTTTAGTAGTTTTTAAACCAATGTTAAGATGCTCTATTGAAGTATTTTTGCCAAAGCATAAATTTGAAATCAACTTTTTGCTTGTGATACATCAATATAAAATAATAAATACTCTTGTGCATGTAGTGGGAAAAGTTATGGAAATTCATTTTTCTGACATAGCATTTCTAGAAGGAAGCATGAGGAATGCAAATGGTATGTATCTGCATTTGGTTTTATTTTGTAGTGTTGGGGAAGGGCCAAGTGTTAAAGGAAAATATAGTTATATTTCTAATAGGTTTCTAAAACCTGGAAATTTATATTTGTATTTTGATGTGTCCCATGAGTATAATGATTTTATTTTCTTTCAGTTGAGGAGATTAAAATAGGTTTTACGTAAATAGTCATTGAGTGAAATTTCAGATAGTGTTATGTTGGGCATTTTTGGCTTGCCCAATGTTGTCTTACTCAAGCTTGATCTGGAATAAGAATCACTTGTCATGGGTTCAGACTGCTTGCTTGTTGCATTTCCAGGTCTTTTCACCTTTTTATCAAGAGGAAAATGATTTAAAATACTTTTTGCTTTGTTTAGATTATCTTAGGGATCCAGAAGTGCCCTTTTTTTTTTTTTTTTTTCTCTTGTAGAGGAAAGCACTGAAGCCAAGTAATTACTGTAAAGATAGGGCTTGTCACACTCAGTCCAACTGAAACAATGTTTTAGGCCTTTTCCCTAGAGCTCTTAACTGCCACTGAATAATTTTAAATGCTTCTAGTCCTGAGATTTTTGGAGAAATGCTGATGTCTATGTGTTTAAAAGAGAAGGCACAGGTTTTTTCCTTCTAAAGATGTTTTAGTGTTTCGTTTTTCATAGTAATGAAAAAATAATTATGTATTAGTGTTACTCATTCATACAAATTAGTAATCATTTTTTAAGACTCGATACTGACTTTATCTGTGAAAAACATAAATTTAGGTTTTTAATCTCAGCTTTCTGTTAGAATTATTAACACTGATAATTGTACCCTCCAACCATAAACTAAAGAAACCTAAATTAAATCATTTTAACAATATCATGTTTCTTACTTGAGTGTGGATTTCTTCCTTGATGTTGATCTTATTTTGTGTTCTTTTGATTCTACTCCTACTTTTAGTGTTTTGGGTTTCTCTTATGGTCAGGTGGGAGAACATGTTTCAGTATCTTTCCACAGACCACACAGTGGGGCTTATGTATTGTTGAGCTCAATTTTCCTAAACTGTGATTTGGACAGCACACTCCAGAAACTATATGAAGAGATATTTTTTTTCCCTGCAGGTTCATTTACACGAGAATGTCTACTCTTTCCTTGTGTGGTATGAGTAGAGGGCTGCTGTTTTTCATTATTTTCCCACAAGATTCGTTTCTCAGTGGGCAAGTTCTGTATACTCCTGGGAATTTTTTCTAGATATCCAACAGGGATTTCTGTGCATTTGGAATAATATACATTTCAATAAGCTGGATAGAAAAACAAAAAACTGGTGTCTGAGGCTTTACAGGTTTCTGATGGAAAGCAGTTCTTTTCGTTAGTCCTTAGAGGAAGGATCAAATAACCGTGTCAGTCATTTTCTCAAACAGGAGAACTTAGTTAGAAAAAATTAAAGTTCTTTAGATTCTAGGGAGAAAATGAGTCAAAATTTCAACCCTTAATCTCAAGATTTTTGTTTTTAATTTTGGAAGCCATTATAGTAATACCACTCTCTTATAGCCAGAATACTGCCTCCTGTGTGCATGCTTTCTACTTGTGATGTCTTGAAATGAAAGTTTACGTTCTGATAAACATGTACATTTAGTATGAATTCTTTCCTCTGAGGAGCTTTTAGAAAAACTTTAATATTGAAAACAGGTTTCATTTTCATGAATAGCTAAAGTATTAATAAATTACCTGTAAGTATATTATATATACTATAAAAATACTGTATTTTAAAAGCTGAATTTCAATTCTCTTGGCTACTAATATAGATACAGCCAAAAGAAGAGGACCAGAAACCTTTAACTTCATCAAATCCAGTATTAGAACTTGAACTAGCAGAGGAAAAATTACCCATGACTCTCTCTAGGCAAGAGGTAAGTTTATATATATGTGTTAAATGAAAAAAAAAGAGTTTCATTTATATCCAATAAGTTGTATACCATTCATTATTTCATATATCAAATGACCTATTGATCTAAGAATATTGTGCAGCCAGGCAGGTTTCTTCAGGAAGTCCTACATCTGCTTCTTTTCTTGTTACTATTGATGTTTTAGAATATATCCTTCTAAATTAAAAAAATTAATGCCTATATTCTAATTCCTGGTGTAGTGCTGTGGGTTAATGCATTAAACTGCAAAGTTGGTTTGAACTGCAAGGTTGGCAATTCAAGCTCACCAGCCGCTCCTGGAAACCTTATACAGGGTCAGAATAGATTCAACGGCACTTAGCAACAACAACAACAATTCTAAATAAATAAATGCAATATGGTTCAGATAACAGTAGTATACTTAGTATTTGTCTCAATTATTTTAAATAATATATTATTTTGTAACACCTTTTCTGTCCCTTAACAATAAATACTTCTATGTCAGGCTATAAAGATGTACATCATTATTAACAGCTGTGTAGTTTCCCATTATTTGCTTGTACCATGTTGTTGGTGGTGTGAAGTGCCGTTGAGTGGTTTCTGACGCATAGTAACCCTGTATAGGGTTTCCAAGGAGCCGCTGGTGAGCTTGAATCAGCAACCTTGTGGTTCAAACTGACCTTGAAGTCCAACTCATTTAACCCACAGCACTATACCAGGACTCACATAATAGTTTTAAAACCAGTTCTTTATTAATGAACATTTAGGTTGTGTCAACCTTTTCCTATTATAAATATACTACGATGAACATCCTTGTATCTGTATCTTTCTGTGCATACAGGCAGTCCTGGATTATGAATGAGTTCTGTTAGTAAGTCTGTCTGTGAATTGAATTTGAATGTAAATTATGTATATGATTGGTATCTAATGTCAGTTAGTCAAATGTTTGTCTTAGTATATAGTACCTACTGTACCTTTCTGTGCATTAAAACAAACAAACAAACACTTCTGGGTATACTAAATTATCTGTACTGTACTACTCCAGCAGTAATAACAACACGGGTTTGATGCATATTGCATTGGAGCACCCATTTGTTGTTACAAACCATCGTATATACCTTGAATCTTTAATATAATGACTTTATGGGGGTTGTTTGATTCATAACTGCTGGTTGTACATAGTTGGAAGTTTGTAACCTGGGGACTGCCTATTATAATTTGTTATTATTTCCTCTGGGTCTAGAAACATGATTTTTAGAACAAAGACTATGTACTTATATAAGACTTTGGATAACATAATACCAACTGGCTTGATAGATATCTTATACCAGTTTACACTTCCATCTATAGTGTTTGCCCAAACCCTAGTCAAGTAGTGTGTTATTTTATAAGATTTGAAGACATTTATGTGATATCAAAAATTTAGACTATTCAGACTTTAAATAAAAACAAAAACCTTTGTCCCCAACTTCCCTTCTCTCAATCAATCAGTAGTCAGTTCTTGTAGATATAACACATCCATTCCTAGTAGTTTTTGGGATCGTCCAGAAATGTTCTGTACATGTAAATAGGAACTTTTCCTTTTTCACCTCTTACCATTTTAAGCATTTGATTGTTGACACACCGGTTTAGATTTTTTGTGATCATGTCAATCAGTCTTTTTCCTTATGGGTTTTTCCTTGGGTGACATGCTTAGAAAAGTCTCCCCCCCATTCATGAAATAAGAATTAGGTGAAGGAATTTGGAATGCATAACCAGAAGATAATTATTAGAGACCTTTTTTTTTTTTTTAAGGTTTTTGTTGTGGATTGAGTGAAAGTTTACAGGGCATATCATCAGTTTTAAATTCAACAAATCACATACCTTATTTCATTACATTGATTATAATCCCCTCCATGTACCATCAGTTAACAGTATGTCTCTCTATCCACTTTAGCTTTTCAAAAAAAACCCCACTCAGGCATATATAATAATTTACATCTCCAAAGGGCACATTCTGAAAGTCTGCTCCTGGCCACCAGCTCTTAGTCC